ATGCATAGAGGAATATCTCTAATATTATATAACAAGATAATGGTGACTAATGATGAGCTATGAGGAAAAAGACTTTATGCTACAAAAAGACTGGGAGAATAATTTCACAAAATTAAAACTAAATTTTAAATTAAAACTAATTTTAAAACAGGACACAATCATGTTTATATTTTTTTCTGTAGATAGAGGCAGTGCTTACATCTCATGCTAATTTTCATCTTTTGCTAAATAGTGTAAGTCTCGTGTATTTCAGCTTTGGAGAATATGATATATACCTGGATAGAGACATTTTAGCTTCAAATTGTGCACATTTAAAGTAACTGGAAAGTTTCTTTCACTTTATTATTTTTAAGTTAAATGTTAAATTTAAACATTAAGTCACAAGCAATAAAAATACCCTAAAGACACAATTTGCTTTGTTATTTAAACATTAGATTTAATATTTAAATATTAAAATGATATTTATGGTTATTATGATTTACATAAAGCTTCTTATTTGTGCTGCTGTACTATGGATGAGAATGTACAAAAGTGTGTCTCAGTGAAATCTTACAACTGGCTGAATTGTTGCCATGGTGAATTTAGATCTACAGAATAGATATGTGCACTGATTATGCTGTAAGTTTCACCCAAACAAAGCATCACTTTTATTAAGCAGATAATATTATGATATACAAACCAACTCTTCATTTAAAAAATAAGCCATAAAATCACTCAAATTTTAAATCACTAGATAAGGAACACTTTAAATAACTTAAAAGACTGCCTTTTTATTTACATATGGGAAATCTAATCTTTGAAATGTTCTGTCATGACATTAAAATTTAGAGGATAAATTTTCAATATAAATGGATGAACTTATAGCATGATGCACATTAAATAAAACTTTGTTCTGGGCACCATCATCTGAATATTTAGATTTTACAAATGAGAACATAGAGTAACAATATGAAATTGTGAGGGAATCATGGATTTGAGTACTACCAAATTCAGCCCATTCACATTGTAGATATTTTGAGAAAAGCAACTTTCACACAATAAATTGGAAAGAACCCTAATTTTACTCTGAACAAATCTTGCATATTGATTATATTTTCATGAATGTGTTTTCCAAAGCAGTTTACTCAATGACTCATTCATTTTCTTCTAACAATTATGCTTTCTGATTTTGTGATTTTATTATGTGACTAAGCAGCTGTCACAAAGAATCAAGAAAAGAAAGTGTTATAAAGCAACATAAGGCTGTTTTTCTCTATGAAATTATAGATAGATAGGTGTTTTTTCTTCCTTCCAGCCACCCAATTTTTTAGACTAGTCACTGGAAGCACCTTGTCTGATTATGAGATACTGACTGGAAATGCTTTATGTTAGTATCAATCACATGCATTTTAAATCCTTTATGTAGATACTACTTCTTTGTAAAGCCACTTTGTAAAAAGATATCCACATGTTTAGGTCAAATAATCAAACTGACTTCTCAGAACCTTAGTTCATTTGCTATAGATGAAAAGCTTGTACTTTCAGAGTCTCTATTTATAAGAAACATGTCTTAACTACAGCTTTTTTGGTCCATTGACTTTTAAATTTAACTCAAAAGTCTTGTAATGATTATATTAATGTTTTGAAAAAAGTTTTATGGCACTAATTAAAATACAGTCTGATTATAGACTGTGTTTTGTGGCACGTCAATTATTGTAAAGTTTCAGTTGGTAAACATAATATATATTTTATCTATTTATTTTGGTACCAGGGATCGAACTCTGGTCCTTGAGCTTGCGAGGCACGTGGTGGAGCCACACTGAGCTAAATCCCCAACCCGCTATACATTTTTAAAATTCTTAATTTACTAAAGAGAATAATGAGTTTTTATCTAAATTCCTAAGGCACCTTCCTGGAGTCTCTTTGAGAAGTAAGAATTCGTGTTACTATTACCATTATTATTAAAATATGAAGCATTAAATCTGTTGCTCTAGATTGGCACATAGCTTCCCATGGTCTGGCTTCAAGGACTCCACCTGTTCTTGACATCTTTTCACACTAGAGGCCCAGAAAACCACAAGAATACCCTTTTCATGGCACAACTCATGCCATCCCCTTTCCTTGGTTTCAAACATGATACCTGAAAGGCTCTCCTTTTTCACAACACCAACTGCAAATTTGTAAACCCAGTACTAGCTGGTAATATTTACTTGGTGTTTACTTCATGCTACACACTTTACTAAGAGAATTATTTAATTAATGCTTGTTGGAATCCTATTTACAGATGAAAAAACTTTGGCTAGTCACTCAATTAGGAAGTGGGCAGGTATTGGATTTACAACCAGGTAGTTTGACTTCAGATGTTAGACTGTGGTTCATTAACACTGTGATATATTGACACCACATCTCAATAAATTTTCAAGATTAATAGTAAAATAATACTTCTTTCATGGATAGTTCATTGACCATGCCAACTTTTCTTCCTTCTTTCTGCTCTGTATCTCTCTGAGATCACACTCTAACCTCTTACCATCGAGAAAACTAGTGACTTGCCCGTCTTGTTTTTCTTTTAACGATTCAGTGCCCCTTTGAAAGTAGTGTTCTGATTCATCTTCATAACCTCTGTAATAAACCATAAAATTCCTTTCATATGCAAAGTCCTCTATGAACATTGGTGATATGAATTTATGATTGAAGTAATTAAGAGATGGTTCAGACTGAATCACAAATGCATTATCAAAAACAAGTTAAAGAATCTACATAGCTAGTCTGTAATTTGACAAACACAATGATCTCAAATGAGTATTTGTTTCTTCGCAAATCTGATCTTTCATGTTGGTCTTATAAAAATTTTCAGGTTCATTCATTCATACAAATGCATTGTTTAATTTCACTGAATCCAAAGAACAGAATTCAACCTAGGAACCCAGGTGAATTTTGCCAGTTAAAAATAGAAATAATTCTTAGGGCTGGGAATTTAGCTCAGTGGTGCTGCTGCCTGCCTCACAAGTGCAGGTACCCAAGTTTGATCCCCAATACCAAAAAAACAAGCAAACAAACAAAATAAAACAACAAAAACAACAAAAAACAAACAAAAAACCCAAACAAAACTGGATCTAAAAATAGAAATAATTTTTTATAACAGTGACTGTAGATGTCTTACTTATTTTCTTTTCCCTGGGTTGAACCAAATTTTTCAGTTTTGTAAGTACTCATACATTGACTCATCTAGAGAATATTAACTAGTCTGGAAAGAGAGAAAAAATCATTTAACCTTCATTTTACATGGTACTATGATAATACAGTCATCTTTCAAAAAATTTTAATGTGAATTGGATGCTTTATTATTACTTAGAGTCAATTTATGTCTACGGACACTGTATTTTGCATGTTGAGATAGAGGGTGACTTGAAGAGTATTTGAGGCTTCTCCTTAAGACTCATGGATCATATTTTCTCACTCTTTCTCTACCTGTTGGCATTATACTTCATTTTAACAGCTGTCCAATAGAAGTTTAAAAAATGTTATTTGTGGTTATACAATAATAATAATAATTATAACAATAACTCTGGTTAAAAATATTTATAACTGGGCTGGGGATTTAGCTCAGTGTTTCCTCTGCCTGCCTTGCAAGTGCAAGGTCCTGAGTTCTATTCCTGGTAACAACAACAAAAAATTAGAACCACATGCAAGATGTAGAATTATTAGATATAACAAGTGCCTTTTTTATCCTTTCAAACTCAAATTTAATATATATGGTAGCAAAACTTGCATAATTAAGAAAAGATAATTATTTAGAGGTTGATAGTAACTTGCTGAATTTAAAACAAGGATTCTTGCAGGAATTCAATGTTAGAACTAAATATGGGTTTTTAAAATTTTTTGAGCTCTCTAATTTATAATCCTTTATCGAACCTGAAAAATTAAAACATAAAAACCAGTCATACAAATCATAATTTTATCATGATTGAAGTATGTCAGGGCACTTCTTAAATTACTTGGGAGTGATTTTTTATGTACTCCTAAATGGTCATTTTTGCTTAGTGACTTAAGCTTAAATAATGAAGCCATAACTGTGAAAAACAATGGATTATCAGTAATAGAATGTCCTAATAAATTATCTAGGTAGAATCAAATTAAAACCCCAGAAATACATGGCAGCTCCGTCTCTTGCAGAAGAGTAAAAAGCTGTTTTTCACTATTACGTCCACATTAGGAATAGCATTGAGCTATAGTATTTATCTTTGGTGGAAGAAATGGGTCTTCAAGGCTTTCCTTGAGATTCACCCTAAGTAACTACACAAGAAGCTTGCTCAGTCTGCTACATGATTTAGAGAACACTATGACATTTTCTCTGAGCATTTAGCTGCTCTTTAAGGCCAGTTAATCACCAATTAGAATGTTGCATTTCTTACCAGTGTTGCTTGCTTGACTTATGGCCGAGAACTTACCAAAGAGTTTTCAGAGGTATGATATCAGAAAACTAGCAAGGGAAAATCATCAACAATGTTTGCTGGGATAATATGCAACCCATCTCCTTTCACAGACACATAGTACTTCTCTTTTTGTCCTCGCTGTGTTGCCTCTGGGGTACCTTGGGCACTGTTGCCCAGAGATAAATGCATAACTAACATTCCCTGCTTGTTCGTGATACACGAAGATGTAACACTCTCAGTTTGATTTTCTTCCTCAAAGGAACAAAAGACTAAGTGAATCTCTCCTTCATAGGTGCCACCCCAAATCATGAACACTGGCCAGCCCTTTGCAAAAGTAGCCAGTCGAAAATGAACCCCCTCACCACAAGTATAAATAAAGCCATCTCATTTGGTTTTAACCCCAGGTAAGAGGATGGGGGGCAACTAATAAAAAGAACAACATAAAGAAGCAGAACTTGCCAATACGGACCTCCATGCAAGCCAGAGCAGATTTATGATTTTGCTTCCCAGGGAGGGAGCTACTAAAGCACGCACACTGACCATCACTTTAAAGAGGTAAAGAGAGAGTGAAATGGCTCAACGTACACACACCCCGCTCCATACCGGGGACGAGTCTCCGAGCTGAGGCTTGTGCTCTCGGAGGGCCAGGCTGAAGCTGACCGCCCCCACGGCCACGCTGGACACCCCCAGCCCTATCTCCAGCACAGAGAGCACCAAGAGGCTCCCAATAATCTGGCCGCTGGTGCACATCCTTCCTGGGTCATCATTCCTTTCCGATCAGAGGGAAACCAACCATCCACCTTCTTTCTTCCACAGACCTCACCCCTCACGCCCCCTACCAGATCCCCAAACTTTTCTTTCTTCACCAGCAAAACATTTATCCACAAGGACTGGATTTCCAGAACCAGAGATCCTTTTTCCTGGCCCGACCAGAGGAGAAAGTGCTGCTCCACCCCCTGGCACGTTCAGGCCAGGACTGGAGAGGAGTCTTGCGGGGCTCGGAGGAGGTATCCACAAGAGGACAAGTCAGGAGCTGGGCGTTCAGGGAGCCGCGACCGGGGAGCCAGCTGCGCTCGAGAGGCTCTGTCCAGAGTTCTGCTGCGTCCCCATTCTCCGCAGGGAAACCAGCCCCTCCTCAGCCTCGCAGACCTGTCGGACGCCCTTCCCTTCCTTGCACGGCTGAGCTTGGCTTTCCGGAGGACCAAGGGCTCAGAGCTTCCCTCAGTGTCTCCCTCTCGCCTCCTCTCCTTTGTTTTCGTGGTAACGCAAAGCGCTTCTGCGAGTCTCGGTCCCCAGGCGGAGCTGGCGGATGGTATTCAGCACCACGCTCCTAGCAGTTGCTGTGTCGCCAGAAAAAGTGACCTTGTCTGATGGCCTCTTTCCGTCTGGATTTCTTCTCCCTCGTCCTCGTCCTCTTCCCCCCCTTCTCTCTTGATCTGATTCTCTCTCATCGCTATGACCTCATTGGGATTTAGAAGGTTGACGGAGGAGGGCGAAGCCTGATGTATTCGTGGATCTAGGACCGATACTCTTGGCTGGCCCTGAATCCGTCCCTCCCGAGACCCTAACTAACCACAGGAATCTAAGCGATCCCTACCTCCGCCTCTTCCCCACTCGCTCCTTTCTGGGCGTCTATCCAGCAGGGAGGAGAGGCGATGCCTACGTCAACACGGGGCTCATTCGGTGTAAAACTTTCTCCTGCATGTCCGCGAGTTGGGGAGCAGTGAGCAAAGACCGTCAGAGGAGCAGAGGCTGGAGAAAGCCCAGAATCCTGATTTCGCTAGGACCCTGTGAGGCCCTCTCCAAGAAACTCCTGTGTCTGGATGAGCTCCTAAGGAGAGCCCAGGACCTGTCACCTGTCGGGTCTGAGGGGAGGGAGCAATTGACTGGAGCTGTCACATTTCACGGGGATGTGACCACACTGCTCTCCAACCAGCAGACCCTTGCTTTCACTCAAGTTCCAGAGATATGTTCATTTAAATATTGTATTGGAACAGACTTTTGTTTTTTTAAACATCTGGCTTAATGCACAACCGTTTTTGACAATCTGCCCTGGTCAGAATCATCAGGGCCCAGGAAAGTGTTGCTTGGGTAGTTTTGTGTTGTCGTCTTTGATGCTAAGGGGACTCTAGATGTCTGGGAATCATCTTTTGAATCCCATTTTTGATTTCTTGATTTTTTTTTACTTCAAGAAATAAATCTCAAGGTATTCCATCAAGGGTGTCCGGGAAGTGAGGAGGTGAGAGGAGGTTTCGAAGTGTGAATTGTCTTTTCCGATAATGGTTCTCCAGTTAGAGATGGATTGAAGGGACGTGGAGGGAAAGAGATGGAGTTAGGGTACAGCGGGGCACCTTGACCTCTAAGCACATAGTGTAGTGCAGGCACCTCTGTGAGGCAAAGCCTCTTCCTTAAAAATCCCAAATGCTAAGGAGACAAAAGCAGAGAGATCCCTAGTCCAAATTTTGTAGCACAAGTGCCAACTTCAGTGTGCTTAAACTTGATTCAGGGCTTGTATCACAGTTTAAATTCAACTGTACATTGTAATTTGTTTCCTTTCTCATATATTTATTCTGTAATTTTAAATTTTTAGTCATACTTCCTTAGAAATAAAGAGCATGTAGCAATTACCAGTTAAGCCTTAAAGAATCAATTATTGTAATATTTAGAGGAAAAACTTAAACCCTTATGCTGACCTATAATAAGTGTGTTTACATCAAATGTGCAATTGTTAGAAACCTCCAGAAGTTCTTGGCTTAAGTGACGCATAGTTTACTTAAATATTGTGAATGTCATCCAAATAATCCAAATTTTTATACAGAAATAATGAATATTCTTGTTGCCTAATCTTTGTTTGCACTTAGTCCCTGGTTCTTCAAAATTAAATTTCTTCATCCTCTTTTGGAAATTAATAACAAGTTGTAGTACCAGTAAAATAAATGAATAATGGAATCCTGTAGGTAGAAGAAAAATTTATTGCAAGAGATCTTATTTTTGTAGAGAATGTAGAGTTGATGTTAACAACACATGCATTTTAAAGAATAAAAGAAATGAGAAAATCTTATATTGTCCGAAGTTTCATCTCTGACAAATATGATGGCTAAAAATGAGGTTAAATATGCCAAACCCCAATTTATGCTGGAATATAAATATTGTTGATTGATACTGAGTAATTGTTCTGAAATTCATAATTTTGAAAATTGAAAATGAAATTTTACATAGAACAAATTAAATTTCCCTCACTTTCCAGAAAATACTGAGTCACAATAAATTAGAAATAGTTTTAGAAATAAAAATAAAAACAATCAGTATAGAAAGCATCAATATTCTGTGTTTGAAAACATAACTTTTAATGTTAGAATTTTCATTATATTTTTACATTAAATCTTCTGGAGCATAAAGTATAGTTTGTGTGCTTTTTAAATTGATGTCAACCTGCTCCCTATGTAAAGTAAGCCCCCATGCATCTAAATTTTCCTTATAATCATGTCAGCAAAGGATAACAAGTGAGTTCAAACTGGCAAATGATTATTGTTATTATTACCATGATTCCTCAGAAATATTTGCTAAAGAAATAAGTGTAAGGCTACACCATACATGAAGCACATTGCTGTCCAAAATTTCAAGGACCTAACAATTCAAGGATTTATTTCCTTATAATACATGGGAAGTGTTACTCATAAGGTCCATTGAGACATAACTTAATCTACATCTTCTGTAAGAGCAACTGCACAAAAAAATTGTAAGCTTGCCACCTGCTGGCTTGTGCAAGACACAAGTAAATGTGTGTGTAGCATCAAAATAATTCTTATGAAACTCCTCACCTAATAAAAAATTCTTCATTATTGTTCTCCTCAAAGATCAACTCTTGCCACTAAGTATTAAAGGGTTCTGAAATCTCTGCATATGAATTTACCCAAATAAGATTTGTAGAATTTTTTATATCTGGACAAAGAAACATGCATTAATTGGTAGACTAATACTCCCTGCTATGATCTGGATGAGTGACCCCCAAAGCCCATGTGCTGAAGGCTTGATCTCCATCCTATGGTGCTACCGGGAGGTGGATGGCCATTAAACGGTGTGGCCTAGTGGAGAGAAAGTAGGTCACTGGGGAAGAGGGGTGTGGTCCTGAAGGGGGAGATGGAAATTTACCCCTTTCTCTTTTTTTCATATTCTTTCCTATTTTACCATGAAGTGAGCACCTTTCTCTACCATGCGTTCCTTGCCATGATGTCCTTCATCCTCACAAGGAAAAGAGCAATGGGGCCAGCCAACAGTGGACTGGGGCTACAAAAATGGTAAGACAAGATAACAAAACTTCCCTCTGGTCAAGTGTTGGAAGTATTTTGTTACAGCAACAGAGAACTATGATATTTCCTATCTTACTGTAATGAAGCACATACAAAAATGATAATTTCAGCCACTAATATAGGGTTATTGAAAAGCTTTCAAAATGGAAATGATTAATTTTAAATATATCAATCATGATCTTATTAAGAGTGCATGACATACATTAAATTTTTATGGTGGCCACAGGCATTGAACTGAATGGCCAATAAAGTACAAAAAAACAGTGAGCACTTCTCTACCATGCGTTCCTTGCCATGATGTCCTTCATCCTCACAAGGAAGGGAGCAATGGGGCCAGCCAACAGTGGACTGGGGCTACAAAAATGGTAAGACAAGATAACAAAACTTCCCTCTGGTCAAGTGTTGGAAGTATTTTGTTACAGCAACAGAGAACTATGATATTTCCTATCTTACTGTAATGAAGCACATACAAAAATGATAATTTCAGCCACTAATATAGGGTTATTGAAAAGCTTTCAAAATGGAAATGATTAATTTTAAATATATCAATCATGATCTTATTAAGAGTGCATGACATACATTAAATTTTTATGGTGGCCACAGGCATTGAACTGAATGGCCAATAAAGTACAAAAAAATCAGGCAAAAGAAAAATTACAAAATGATTTCAAACAATTAAGCAGTTTTCAAGTGCTGGAAGCCATTCACTATTTTAATACTCTTGTCCATGTGATTAGAAAAGATGGCACCTAGAGATTTACCTCAGATTTGAAGAAGTGGTTCTGCTAAAAAGAGAAAGCTATAGCTTAAAGATCTTCTTTCTTATTTAAAAATAAACAGAGATAATAAATCACAATGTATTTCTCTCTGAGCTTTTATTGAGTAGAGCTTAGAAATCATTATGCAAAAGTAATTTTAGTGCTTGTGAATATTAATCTGAGAAAATATAATACTTAGTAATACCTTTAGTACAATTTTCTACTTATAAATGAACATACTTAACATTTGAACATGTAAATATATATACCTGTATAAATCAGTGTAACATGGATATCGTAGTGAGTTCTAATTTTAATTATGTGGATACCTTCACTTCTGGCCACTATAAAGAAAATAGGGCTGGACTTCAACTGTATGTAAGATATGATAGCACAGAATTGTGATGAACCATAGAAGAGAAACAAGGTTTTCTGACTATGGACATATAATTTACAGGAGGAGGGGTCTTTAGAAAATAATGGAATTAGATAAATATTAGTTCTTGGGGGCTGGGAGTAAAGACTCCATGTTTCTGTTCCCCCAAAATTTATTCCGTACGTTGAAAGTGAAAAACCTTAATGGGGTGTGTTAGGAATTGAGATCTTTGGTGGAGGGGGCGTTTCAGAGTAAGATGGGAAGTAGGGGGGGTCGCTGACTGGGTTTATATGAGGATATACCAGGCATAGCCTTTATGATAGAATTAGTATCCTTTTTCATAAAGAAAGAGATTAGATTTTATTTTCTCTATCATGTGAGGACACAATAAGAAGACAGGTATCTATAAATCAGGAAGAAAGCCCTCACTGAATATGCCCTGATCTTGAATTTCCCAGCCTCCAGAATGGTAGGAAGTAATTTTTGTTTAACTACCCAGTCTGTGCTCTGTTGTTATAGCAACCTGACATGACTAAGCTACTAAAGTGGTCAGAAGTTTCAGGGCTGAGTGCTGGAGAGGAGGAAGTGTCATGGAAAAAGAGATCCATAAATCTCCTTAGAGAATCCTTGAGTCTGCAGCTATATCCTAAAATGCAGTTCCATAATGTTACATGCAAAATTTCAAGTATTAATGGCAATTTTTTTCCAAAACTGATGAGAACTATGAATTTACAGGTTGAAGAAGCCTAGTAAATGGCAAGTAGGATAACTATGCCAAAGCAGGTCTCAATCAGCTGCTGGAAACCAGTAATCAGAATTAAAATTTAAAAATTGCCAGAGAAACAAGGGCACATTATGTAGACAGGAGCTAAGGTAAGACTTCTGGACTGTTTATTTAATGTTGAGACAGAACATAAGTTGAATGTTTTTTTAAAGCATTAAAACAAAAAAATACAATGAAACCCTGTTAAATCTAGAATTATATACCCAGCAAAAATATCTTTTAACAAAAATTGAGAAAATTTATTACTGCATGATCTCCACTGGAAGTGATGCTAAAAGAATTATCCATTAAGCAGAATTATAATATGTCACAAAGAAATTTAGATTTACACAAAACTGCTGAGCATTATATGGGTAAAATGTTGGTAACTGTAGATAGTTAATTTTACTCAAAGTTGGATGTTGAAAGGAAAATAGTATATTTTTGACATTATGACATATGTGTAACTAAAATATATAATAATAACAGCAGGGTTAATGGGGAGAACAAAATGAAAACAGTCTGTATAAAGTTGCTACATTATATGTGCAGTAACTCAGTATTAATTGAGATTGAGTTAGTTAAAGATAAAGCTCTAAGCAAGCTGTAAACTATAGCAACTACTAATTATGATGAAAAGAAAAGGCAAATAAGCCAAAATTAGAGATGAATACTTAATATTAATATATTGATTTTTTAAATGGAAGAAATTATTTATAAAAAAGAAAACA